CTCTAAAATTGACCACATAATTGGCAATAAATCACTCCTCAGCAAATGCAAAAGAACAGAAATCATAACAAACAGTCTCTCAGACCATAGTGCAATCGAGTTAGAACTCAGAATGCAGAAACTAACTCAGAACCGCACAGCTTCATGGAAACTGAACAATTTGCTCTTGAATGTTGACTGGATAAACAATGAAATGAAGGCAGAAATAAAGATGTTCTTCGAAACCAATGAGAAGGAAGACACAACATACCAGAATCTCTGGGACACATTTAAAGCAGTCTCCAGAGGAAAATATATAGCAATGAGTGCCCACATGAGGAGAAAGGAGAGATCTAAAATTGACACCCTATCATCAAAATTGAAAGAGCTAGAGGAGCAAGATCAAAAAAACTCAAAACCTAGCAGAAGACAGGAAATAACTAAGATCAGAGCAGAACTGAAGGAAATAGAGACACAAAAACTCTTCAAAAAAATCAATAAATCCAGGAGCTGGTTCTTTGAAAAGATCAACAAAATAGACAGACCACTAGCCAGATTAATAAAAAAGAAAAGAGAGAATAACCAAATTGATGCAATAAAAAACGATAAAGGGGATATCACTACAGATTCCACAGAAATCCAAACCATCATCAGAGATTATCACAAACAACTCTATGCACATAAACTAGTAAACCTGGAAGAAATGGATAAATTCCTGGACACCTGCATCCTCCCAAGCCTAAACCTGGAAGAAGCCGAAACCCTGAATAGACCAATAACATGGTCTGAAGTCGAGGCAGCAATAAAGAGCCTACCACCCAAAAAAAGCCCAGGTCCAGATGGGTTCACAACTGAATTCTACCAGACATACAAAGAGGAGCTGATACCATTCCTTCTGAAACTATTCCAGACAATCCAAAAAGAGGGAATCCTTCCCAAATCATTTTACGAGACAAACATCATCCTGATACCAAAACCCGGCAGAGACTCAACAAGAAAAGAAAATTTCAGGCCAATATCCATGATGAACATAGATGCAAAAATCTTCAATAAAATACTGGCAAACCGATTGCAACAGCATATCAAAAAGCTCATCCACCATGATCAAGTAGGATTCATCCTGGGGATGCAAGGCTGGTTCAACATACGCAAGTCCATAAACATAATTCACCACATAAACAGAACAAAAGACAAAAACCACATGATTATCTCAATTGATGCAGAGAAGGGTTTTGACAAAATTCAACAGCCCTTTATGCTAAAAACCCTCAATAATCTAGGTATTGACGGAATGTATCTCAAAACAATAAAAGCTATTTACGACAAACCAACAGCCAATATCATACTGAATGGGCAAAAACTGGAAGCATTCCCTTTGAAATCTGGCACTAGACAAGGATGCCCTCTCTCACCACTCCTATTCAATATAGTACTGGAAGTTCTAGCCAGAGCAATCAGGCAAGAAAAAGAAATAAAGGGTATCCAAATTGGAAAGGAGGAAATCAAATTGTCTCTATTTGCAGATGACATGATTGTATATCTGGAAGACCCCATCATCTCAGCCCAAAATCTCCTGAAACTGATAAACAACTTCAGCAAAGTCTCAGGATACAAAATCAACGTGCAAAAATCACAAGCATTCCTATACACCAGTAATAGACTTCAAGAGAGCCAAATCAAGAACGAACTGCCATTCACAATTGCTACAAAGAGAATAAGTACCTAGGAATACAACTAACAAGGAATGTAAAGGACTCTTCAAGGAGAACTACAAGCCATTGCTCAACGAAATAAGAGAGGATACAAACAGATGGAGAAACATTCCTTGTTCATGGTTAGGAAGAATCAACATCGTGAAAATGGCCATACTGCCCAAAGTAATTTACAGATTCAACGCTATTCCCATCAAGCTACCAATGACCTTCTTCACAGAACTGGAAAAAAAACACCTTAAACTTCATATGGAACCAAAAGAGAGCCCTCATAGCCAAGTCAATTCTAAGCAAAAAGAACAAAGCAGGAGGCATTACAGTACCAGGCTTCAAACTATACTACAAGGCTACAGTAATCAAAACAGCATGGTACTGGTACCAAAACAGAGATATAGACCAATGGAACAGAACAGAGGCCTCAGAGGAAATACAACATACCCACAACCAGCTGATCTTCGACAAACCTGACAAAAACAAGCAATGGGGAAAGGACTCCCTGTTTAACAAATGGTGTTGGGAAAACTGGCTAGCCATGTGCAGAAAGCAGAAACAGGACCCCTTCCTGACACCTTACACCAAAATTAACTCCAGATGGATTAAAGACTTAAACATCAGACCTAATACATAAAAACCTTAGAAGAAAATCTAGGCAAAACCATTCAGGACATAGGTGTAGGCAAGGACTTCATGACCAAAACGCCAAAAGCAATGGCAACAAAAGCCAAAATAGACAAATGGGACCTAATCAAACTCCACAGCTTCTGCACGGCAAAAGAAACAGTCAGTAGAGTGAATCGGCAACCAACAGAATGGGAAAAAATTTTTGCAGCCTACCCATCTGACAAGGGGCTGATATCCAGAATTTACAAAGAACTAAAGCAGATCTACAAGAAAAAAACAAGCCCATTCAAAAATGGGCGAAGGATATGAACAGATACTTTACAAAAGAAGACATCCAGGATGCCAACAAACATATGAAAAAATGCTCATCATCACTGGTCATCAGAGAAATGCAAATCAAAACCACATTGAGATACCATCTCACACCAGTTAGAATGGCGATCATTAAAAAATCGGGAAACAACAGATGCTGGAGAGGATGTGGAGAAATAGGAACACTTTTACACTGTTGGTGGGAATGTAAATTAATTCAACCATTGTGGAAGACAGTGTGGCGATTCCTCAAGGACCTAAAAATAGAAATCCCATTTGACCCAGCAATCCCATTACTGGGTATATATCCAAAGGATTATAAATCATTCTACTACAAGGACACGTGCACACGAATGTTCATTGCAGCACTGTTTACAATAGCAAAGACCTGGAACCAACCCAAATGCCCAACGATGATAGACTGGATAGGGAAAATGTGGTACATATACACCATGGAATATTACGCAGCCATCAAAAACGATGAGTTCACGTCCTTTGTAGGGACATGGATGAACCTGGAAACCATCATTCTCAGCAAACTGACACAAGAGCAGAAAATCAAACACTGTATATTCTCACTCATAGGCGGGTGTTGAACAATGAGAACACATGGACACAGGGAGGGGAGCACTACACACTGGGGTCCGTTGGGGGGAAATGGGGGAGGGGAATGGGGGTGGGGAGGTGGGAAGAGATAGCATGGGGAGAAATGACAGATACAGGTGAGGGGACGGAAGGCAGCAAACCACACTGACATGTGTGTACCTATGCAACAATCTTGCATGTTCATCACATGTACCCCAAAACCTAAAATGCAATTAAAAAAAAAATCCTAGCACTTTGGGAGGCCGAGGGGGATGGATCACCTGAGGTCAGGAATTCGAGATCCGCCTAACCAACATGGTGAAACCCTGTTGGCCGGCGTCTGTAATTCCAGCTACTCAGGAGGCTGAGGCAGGAGAACGGCTTGAACCTGGGAGGCGGAGGTTGCGGTGAGCCGAGACTGTGCCAACCTCCCTCCTGGGCAACAAGAGCGAAACTCCCTCTCAAAAAAAAAAAAGAGTGGCTAGAGTACTGGCCACTTTTTTCCTGCGGTGGATGCAAGCACATTTAAAAATCATAGTGCGTATGCTTTAGGATAGGGAGGAAAGGAGAGAGAGGACATGGGCAGGGGTGGAAAGATGTGGGTTCCGGTATTGATTTTTGGTGTGAGCTTGAAGAAGTTTTGTACTTTCAAAAAATGCCTGTTTTACTACCAAAAGAAGTGCTTCCTTTGGAGAGTGAGGATCCTGTGTTACCGAGGTTTGTATTTTCAGGCCCTAGCATCTAAATCTGCTACATACTAGATATTCAACTAGTATTGGAGGAATGAAGGTGAACACGGGTTTCCTCATCTGTAAAAGCAGAGTCTGGAGGCCGGGTGCGGTGGCTGAAGCCTGTAATCCCAGCACTTTGGGAGGCCGAGGCGGGTGGATCACGAGGTCAAGAGATCGAGACCATCCTGGTCAACATGGTGAAACCCCGTCTCTACTAAAAATACAAAAAATTAGCTGGGCATGGTGGCTCGTGCCTGTAATCCCAGCTACTCAGGAGGCTGAGGCAGGAGAATTGGCTGAACCCAGGAGGCAGAGGTTGCGGTGAGCCGATATCGTGCCATTGCACTCCAGCCTGGGTAACAAGAGCGAAACTCCATCTCAAAAAAAAAAAAAAAAAAAAAAAAAGCAGAGTTTGGACCAAATGATCTGCAAAATGGGTCTTTTTATACTGTTACTACTCTAGTACTTACAAGTAACAGACGTTATTCTCAACTTCTGGTCTGAGTCATGTCTGAGGAGGTAGCCTACCTCCTATACCACCCCAAACACTCTGGGGCTAGTGGGACCCTGTTTGGACAGATGTCTGTTTCTTCTAGCTCTTTACGACGTGAGCAGTACTGCTGTGGAAGAAAGAAACCTAATTTGCCATGCCTTGTCCCTTTTCTTGCTAGGGCACGGCGTGGTGTAGTCACCACACGTGCCACAGCCTTCTAAGCGAGACAACATCCCAGCCTTCCCCGCTTACCGAAAAGCGCTATTGTCCGGTTGGGTCTAGGTGCCCCCTTCCAACCAGGGCGGATGGCCAAAGACTCCGCTCTCTTGAAGTGTGGGCTTGGGAAGGCACGGGACCCGCCTTTCCGGGGCGGTGGAGCAGGTGAAGGGCGGAGGGCGGGCGGCGCGCTGCGTTAGTTACCTGGAGCTGGGCGGGGCAGGCCGGAGGCGGGGGCGGGGCCTAGGTGAGATCCCAGGCAGTGATTGGGCCGCGCCGCGCCTGTCTCCATGTGCCGCGCGGCTGAGGCACAACATTCAAGCCCGGGGGCGGGGCCCACGGGCGCCGGGAGGAAGCGGCGGCGCGGCAGCTTCGGGCGTGGGGGCGGCGGAGGCGGTGGCTGAGGCCGAGGTGGCGGTGGCTGTGGCGGACACAGCGGCACCCCAGCTAGGGACAGGGCTCCGCCGCGCCCCTTTGCAGGCCCCATGGAGGCGGCAGCGGGGGGTGGGGGCTGCGGCTCCGGGCCGCCGCCGCTGCTGCTAAGTGAGGGCGAGCAGCAGTGCTACTCTGAGCTCTTCGCGCGCTGCGCCGGCGCCGCGGGCGGGGGCCCCGGGCCTGGACCCCCCGAGGCCTCCAGAGTCGCCCCCGGCACGGTTACTGCGGCCGCTGGCCCGGTGGCTGACCTGTTTCGGGCGTCGCAGCTGCCCGCCGAGACGCTCCACCAGGTAGGGTCCCTCCGCCTCCTGTCCCTGCGGGTTTGTGGGGACAGTGTCTGTGGGGGCGGAGGTTGCGAGTGGGGCGGCAGGGCTACCCTCAGGGACCCGGAGGCCTCGGCCAGTTCTCAGAGAGAGAGGGCTCTGCAGCCGGGGATTGCGGCGACGCCCTTGTCCCCGGGGGACACCAGCCTCCTCCGCAGCTGAGCTCCTCGCCCAGTGCTGGGTGCGCTCTCCCCATTTTCCTTCTCTGAGACTGACACTCCCTCCCCTCCCCCGGCCATTTCTGGGGTTCTGCAGCCGTCCAGACCTAAAGTTTGTCCTGTTCTGGAAGTGGTGTTTGTTTTGGCTGCTGTCTGTTTTAACCTCTGCTCGCTGCTCCTGCCCCTCCCTCTCCTGAGTGGGCTCTCAGGGTGCCTTGCTGGGATTTGAACTTGAAGGGTGTGTGTGTCTGTAGGGTTCGAGCCCGGGGCTGAATATTGTCCTCTCTATGTACTTGTGATACGTATGTATCTACTATATATAACTGCCTGTAACATATTTGTAAATATTAATATTAAATCGAAAACCTTAATGACAAGTTGCAGAGCAGGGACACGGGACTGCAAGAGGACGTTTGTCAGGTCAAAGCCAAATTTTCCATTTGAGGCTAGAGGTGGACTTCAGAAGTTCACCATGGGGAACAGCTATAGTTTCCCATCTTATCATTACTTGGATTTCAAATAGAATTGAAAAGTAAGGGGTGTCATAGCTACCACCTTTTGGCTGTTCTATACCTAGAAAAGGACTAGGGGATGATTCATACCAGACGCTATTTTCGTTTTTTGCTTTCTTTGGAGCTTGGAGAAAGACTACTTGACAAGCCCTTTGTTTGTCATTTCATGTCACTAGAACTTCATGGTGATAAGATTGTTAGTATCAGGTTCAAAACGTGAAATGAAGCTTTTCCTAAAAGCAATAGTATGAATGTTATTAACACTAGTCGAATATTTAGAGTGACGAGTGGTACTTTAAAATCTAGTTTCAAAGGAGATCTGAGGGTTTTACGGTTCACTTGCAATTTCATTGTGTTCATTTGTATTTTTTTAAAAAATTACTTGAGACTGCGTTTTATACTGCTAGAGTGTGCATATGGCTGTATGTTGGTGAGCATAACTTTAGACACTTTGTAATCAATCATTCACCTTTCTGAATTTGGGATTTCTGAAAATATAACTAGTATTCACAGAACTGAGCATGGCTGCTTGTCCCTAAAGAAGTCCTTGATATGTAGACAGTTCTGCCATTGCTGATGAGTACTTGAGCTGTACCAGGTAAAGAGAAACTCAGTATCTTAAAACACAAACCATGACTATTATATGAGGCCCTCAGAATACTCCCGAGCATAATATATTTATTCAATGCTGTAGCTGCTTCCCAGCTGAAAGAGGAATAATTGATTGAGGCTATACAGCAGTAAGTGACAGCTGGGTACCTATTAAACTTACTTTGTTGTCAGTAATGCATCGGATATTATAAGAGGAGGTGGGCATATTAAATCTGAATATGTTGGTTGATGCCTCCTTAGGAATTGGGAAGAAGGATATCCTGTTGTTAGAATCCACACTTTCTTGAGGTACATATGTTTTAAGACCAAAGGCACAGTGCCTTTGCATGAATAAGATTATATTTTTGATGTCCACTTGAAATCTGTTTGCAAAAGACTGCTTCAAATACTGACAAAAAGGACATCCCTGCAAGATTGCTTGGAGTAAATCTCTCAGAGCTTGAAGCTTCCTTATTCAGCCCATCAAAGCAAAAACACATTACCCCCTTTAATCCAACAAAATTACCATAACTCAGTATTCTTGGTACAGGTGAAAATGAACATTGAAGGCAAACTGGATATGTAATCCTAAGAGAGTCAAAGTCAGCAACCAGCAAACACCTAATTTTCACTCATCACTTTAGTGGTGTGTGCTCCATCCACTTTAATTTCCATTACCCCATCAGTTTATTAGCCATTCTTTAAAACAAATGTAGATGTTTTTACCCTTTCCCTGTTAATCAGGAACCTGTAAGTTGAGATTTAAGTGGCCCAACAGGTATAACTGCTCAAATCTTGGAGGCACTAACAAGCCCTGGTATTTTCTGTGGTAACAACCAGGTTTTCCTCTTAATAAGCATACAATTAAGATGACCATAATAATGTTCCAGGAAGAGTGAGTATCTTGCAGTCTTACCACAAGTAAATGCTTTATAAAAATACCTAATTTTATTTGCTCCTTGGAGTAAAAATAAACCACTATACTTGTTACTTTGTTATGGAAGTGAGCCTCTTAGGGTTTTTTCGCCAGTTGAGATACTCACACACACACACACACACACCTACACATACATGCATATAAATATACGTGTGTGTGAGATATATGGCATATGTATACAAAATCTCAACTTTTCTTTTTTTGAGACTGAGTCTCACTCTTGCCCAGGCTGGAGTGCAGTGGTATGATCTCAGCTCACTGCAACCTCTGCCTCCTAGGTTCAAGCAATTCTCGTGCCTCAGCCTCTCGAGTAGCTGGGATTACAGGCACCCACTACCACGCCCAGCTAAGTTTTGTATTTTTAGTAGAGTCAGCGTTTTACCGTGTTGGCCAGGCTGGTCTCAAACTCCTGACTTCAGGTGATCCACGTGCCTCAGCCTCCCAAAGTGCTGGGATTACAGGCATGAGCCACTGTGCCCAGCCTCAACATATTTTTTAATAGACTATTTTTTCAGAGCAGTTTTAGGTTCACAGCAATATTTAGCAGAGTACCCATATATCCCCTGTCCCGACACACCCATAGCTTTTCCTACTCTCAACATCCCACACCAGAATGATAGAGTTTTTACAATTGATGAACCTACATTGACACATCGTTATTCTCCAAAGTCTATATATTAGGGCTCACTCTGGGTGTTGTACATTCTGTGGGTTGGGAAAAATGTATAATGACATGGATCCACTATTGTAGTATCATACAGAATAGTTTCACTGCTCTAAAAATCTGTGCTCCACTGATTCATTCCTCCCTCTCCATTAACACGTGGCAACCACTGAATTTTTTTTTTTTTTTTACTGTCCTATAGTTTTGCCTTTTTAAGAATGTCATGTAGTTGGAGTCATACAGTATATAGTATTTTTAATATTGGTTTCTTTCATGTAGTAATGTGCACTTAAGATTCCTCCATGTCTTTTTATGGTTTGGTGGCTCATTTCTTTATAGTGCTGAATAATATTCCATTGTCTGGATGTACTACAGTTTATTTCTTCACCTATTGAAGGATATCTTGGTTGCAAGTTTGGGCAATTATGAATAGAGCTGTTATAAACATCTGTATGCAGGTTTTTTTGTTACATGCAGGATATAAGCTTTTAACTCATTTGGGTAAATAGCAAGGGGAACGATTGCTAGATTGCATGGTAAGAGTATATTTAGTTTTATAAGAAACTGCCAAACTGCCTTCCAAAGTGGTTGTACCATTTTGCATTCCCACCAGAAATGAATTGGTTTCTTTACAAAGTATTTATTTTCCTTTGCTGACTGATTTTAACAGCAGGATTCTAGCACTAGGTAGAAAACGTATATGAGTTTCTGATGTGTGTCAGTTACTGTCCTAGGTGCTGAGGTTATAATAGTGAACCCAACACAAATCTCTGTCTTCATGGAGCTTATGTTCCAATGAAAATGTTTTTATACTACAGAGTTTTTTTTTTTTTTTTTGGTTGAGAAAAGAAATATAACATTCAAAAATAAAATGTCAGCTGGGTGCAGTGGCTCACACCTGTAGTCCCAGTGCTTTGGGAGGCCAAGGATGGGAGGATTCCTTGGGGCCAGGAGTTTGAGACCAGCCTGGGTAACATAGCAAGACCCTGTTTCTACAAAAAATAAAATAAAATAGCCAGGCCTAGTGGCTTGCACCTGTAGTCCTAGCTACTCTGGAGGCTGAGGCAGGAGAATTCCTTGAGCCGGGGAGTTTAAGGTTATAGCAAGCTATGATCACACCATTGCTCTCCAGCCCAGGCAACAGAGCAAGACCCTGTCTCAAAATTAAGTAAAGTAAGGCTGTCAAACCCAAACCAAATATGTGTCAAACCCAGACCTGATTCTCAGCACATGCCATGCCTTCTAGTAAAATGTCGGTCTTTGAATACCAACAAAATACTTTAAACCTGGGAAACAAATCACTCTAACATTTGTAGCTCTGTCTTGAAAATTAAACAAAACCATTTACCTGTTCTTAGACATATTTTCTTTTTCTAGTTTAAAAGTGTTTCATTCTGTCATTTTCTACCTAGTGCTAGAATCCTGCTCTTAAAATAGGTCAGCACAGGGAAATAAATACTCTGTAAAGAGACCAAAAGACCTTTTAAAATAGGCTATGGCCAGGCCCAGTAGCTCATGCCCGTAAATCCAAGCCCTTTGGGAGTCTGAGGCTGGAAGATTGCTTGAGCCTAGGAGTTCAAGACTAGCTTGGGCAAGATGGCAAAACCCCATCTACACACACACACACACACACGCACACACACCACACACACCCTACTTAATTCTCTCTGGGGCACACCTGTAGTTCCAGATATTCTGGAGGCTGAGGTGGGAGGATCCCTTGAGCCTAGGAGTTTGAGGCTGCAATGAGCCATTATGACACCACTGCACTCCATCCTGGGTGAGAGTCAGACCCTATCTCATTAAAAAATAAAATATCTACCTTAAAGCAGCAAGTTTTCTATTTGATGTGATGAATTAACAAACTATATAGACTGCTTTATAATATCTGTCTTTTAGAATAATGTCTTAGTCTCTGGGAATGCTGTACATATTCCAAGTCATCATTAAAATTAGTTTTCATTTTCTTAAAAAATTTTAAACATATATACATTTTATTGGAGTTTTCTTTTAAAACTCAAAAATGAGAACATTATTTTTTCAAAGCCAAGTAACAAGAGTATATAAAGTCAATTTGGTGTATATCTCTTTACATTTCTTTCTAT